ATATATAGCAAGTGGCGGCACATCTAGTTTCTGTAGTAGTAATTGATATATCTAAACAATTATAGTGCACATTCATAGTAATGAAGACCTTATCCTATATCGCCTTGGGGTTTGTCAAAGAATTTATCAAATTGTAAGGATTGTAGCATAATAATATAACTTAGGTCGTGTTCACTTTTGGGAGCTTTTATTGATAACCTAAGCTAGACTAAATGTCATACAATGCAATGAAAGAGGTCTAGGTTTTAAAGATTTAAATTGAATTATGACTAAAGTATATGCAATGAAAATAAACCTAAACTACTATATTTTTAGATTTTTGGATAAAATGATGATGGAATAGAAATGGATGATAGGAAACCTCTTGAAAATGGTTTTAATGGCAATCATAGTTTACTTAAGATATTGGGAGTTTCATAAAATCATTAGGTGTTTTTGAATAACAACCTCAATGACCATTGAGTCCATTGTTTAAATCAATGAACCTCATTAATGAAAACATTGTTAAGCTTTCCTAATGAGCAATTTAAGAATGATCAATACAATTGGTTCGATGTAACCCAAAATTAACTTAATATCAAAATATAACCATGCAAAATAGAGAGAATCAAGAGGGTTCTAAAGAAACATATATGTAACTATATATATTGAAGCACAAAATTCAACATTGACCAATTCAAACTACAAATGATAAATCATTAAACAATAATTACAGCAATAATCCAAGTGTCTAACTAAGAATTTACAAATCTTAGACCTAGGAAGCCATAAATACATAGTTAAAAACTAAAGATTGAAGTTAAACCCCTCTTTAAAGCTTGAAAACTCATGCCACTCCACCATTTTCAAGAGTTGAAAAATCCTAGCCCTCCATAGCTTCAAGAGCAACTCCAACCGGAGTGAATTTGTCAGCCATAGCAATTGGGAGCGTAGAAGAATGAGATGGAATAAAGGAAAAGATACAAGAAATTGATGGGGAAGAAGATGGAGATGGAGAGACAAGAAGATGAGAGAATAGAGGTGTTAGAGATGAGAGGATGGAGTCTCTTTTTGAAAATAGGGTTTCCAAGAGTTTAAGGGGTCTATCTGGGTCCGATCATATGAGTAGATGCTCTATTTTCATGTTCTGACCCGAATCTGGCATTACTGATACGAGGACTTTGTCGCGACCTAAAATTTTTGCGTCATGGCAAAGATGTCCTGAATAAAACACTGTTGTACATTTTCATACTTGCATCGTAGTGCAAAATTTCTTAGCCACAACAAAGATTTCCAGAATAGACATTTTCACACTTTGGCTACAGCACAGAATATCTTGGCCGCGACAAGGAGTTCCAGAAGCAATATTTTGGATCTTGTGTTGTATAATCCCTTGGTCTTTAATCATGGCACTAATTCTTAAGTGTCTTGCAATAAAAAGTAATAATTTGAAGCATTAATTGTCCTAGAAATTAATTGAATACAATTAATAACTAATTACGATAATTTTATCCTCAAAAAGATACTATTTCAAAGCAAAGACTCTTGATCTAAATTAATCATAATTATCACTAAAAGGCCCACTAACCCTGATAAAAACCCTGAAAATGATATGAAAATACGTAGAAGAATTGGGTTCAATCACATAACCGAGACATTTATTGCAAAATAATAAAATATCATAACTGAAGCCGCTTACTCAGATATAACTCTTTGACAAAGACAAATACCAATTCAGTTCTTTTAGTTCATAGTTTACCAAATGCACATTGAAACTAGTTAATATACACATATATATATTTACATTTCATATATTCATTTCTATTCCATGGAGCAAAGACTCAAACCATTAAACAACTAAATCCAAGACAATAGGGACTGATCCCTTTCGAAGTAAGGAACACAATAATATAGACACTTGCATTTCTCTGATAAATTATTCTTTTTCTAGTTTCTTCTTTCCACCAACCACAACTAACTTCAAGCTTTTCCATATCATCAAACGTGAACCACGCGTCATAAAATTTCAGAGTAATGACCAGTAAGCAGAGAAGGTTAAAAATGGCAGAGTAGCCACCAACAAGCATAGGAAGTGAACTAAGACAGACTGACTTCTTACCAGAGAAAATAACCAAATTTGGGTGGAGATGAAGATGCTTCATAAGATCCATGGATGAAATTGCACAAGGAGGACGAACAATGAACACCCACCATGAGAGGAGAGATTTCGAACCAGAAATTGGAAGTAAAGGGAGAAGAAACATTGCTGAAATTCAAAGGAATTGAAATGTTATACGTAGAAAATGGGAATAGGGCTTCTATGAGATCATGGAGGGTGTCGGTTTTACCATTCACTGATAGAGAATGGAGAAATGGAGCATCTCTTGGGTGAATATTATTAAGGGCTATCAAGTCTTTTCATATTAAGGAGTTTTAACTAATTTGCAGGATTTTTTTATTGTTTTTTTTTTTTTGGGATCTCAGTGTAATTTTCTCTTATATTTATATCTGTACGCATATGTTATAAAATTTAGATAGGCAAGCCTATTAGGCTTTAAATAAGCAGGCTTGGCCCATTTACTTCGCAAGGCATGTGCATGGATTTAATGTTGTAATGAAATCCAAGAATGTTGTCTCCGCAGTTATCACATTGGAATGCTCATCCCCCAAGCACCGTTGGAAATGGGATACCATTTTTTTTTTTTATTTGTTTATTTTGGTTAAGCTATATTTAGAATTCTAAAATATTTTTCTAGTAGCACTCAGTATCACAAATTAACAAATTTTTAGTGCATTTAGAGTATTTTTTTTCAGTTAATATTTTCTTAGTAGCATCAAGTATTCTATATTAATTAATTTTTTGTGCACCTAGTATCCAAATGCACTAAAAATTAAATCAATACAAGATACTGGGTACTCCTGAAGAAAACTGTAAAATACTAAATGCACTAAAAAATAATTAATTTAGCATGCTATATGCTGTTGAAAAAATATTTCAGGATATTGAATGTGCTATAAAATAATGAATTTAGGATATTGAGTCCTCCTGAAAATATATTGTAAGGCGATGGATACACTAAAAATTAATTAATTTAAAATATTAGATGCTGCTAAAAAATATTTCAAAGTACTAATATGGCTTAGCCCAAATAAATAAAAATAAACACTAATAACTTCCTTTTTAAGGGGCCCAAAAAAAAAAAGTGGGCCTCAATGGTGCCGTTTGGGCGAAGAGCATGCCCTGCTCATCTGTCAAACTGAGTTGAAACTCAATGGAATACAGAATGATGGGTTTTAAGCAAGATCTATGGGATACTATCAAAACTAATCTTCTAGAGTTGTATGATGCTTTCAGCTCAAAAAAAAAAAAAAAAAGAGTTGTATGATGCTTGATAGTGAAAGTTAATGGAGCAAGTAGCGAGAGTTGAAAATATGCTTGCACAATATTATGGAGATAAGTAGATTGCAATACAAACTACTTATAATATTGGTATCATTTATCTTAATGTTGATATTGGTTAGCATCAATGCACTTGCTCAGTATGAAAGCTAGGTGGATTATCTTGTACACATCCATGTACTACAATCTAACTATTTTATGGTAATTATGAATCACCGATATAGACTGTTTTCTCAAGAAAATCTATGCAAGTAGCATGAGACTTGCAACACAATTGTCCATGTCTCATGCCCCCATAGCAACATATGATGACACAAATATTCTTACAGCTGCCAATTCTAATTAGAGGCCAAAAAGCAAAAGGAGGAAATCTCAAATTTCAAAAAAAGATTTACCATTGTCTAAAGTGCCAAAACTTGGGGTAAGTACATAGACGATCCATATTCAGTACAGATAAGCCTTATGATTATTTTGTCATTTTATGCGAAATTTTAGTTATTATATTCCTTTCTTGGAACTCTACAATGTTTTCTCTATATAATAAACATAAGGCTTTAAGCATCCTATATAATACTACTTCCAATCCTAATTATAAGTACTAATTGACTAATTTGAGGAGATTAAAAAATACATTAGGTTAGTTATTTATAATAAATGTGTTATCTTTCCTAAAATATCTTTGCTAATCAAGTATATTGGCTATAACTACCAATATTAGAACTTAAGGAAAAAATTCATAAATATGAAAGACAAAGTAAATTGAGGTTTTATATTTAAAACTAAACTAAAAATCAAATAAGATCTTATATTAAAGACTGGAGGTAATATAAGTTTATGGGCCTTAACACTCAAAAACTAGCATATTTCTCAGCTTCAAGTTTACACTGTCTATTCTTTATATGTTCCATATCAAATTAGAGTAACATCACCAATTCCATTTTAAAAATAATGATCAATGATGCTTTAGTTTGAATGAATGATTTAATCACACTTTTGATCTCTCCAACTCCATAAAATCTCTTTTTCTCAATTGGCTCACGGATGTTTCTCTCTCTCTCTCTCCCTCTCTAATGCAATTTTGTTATTTCTTCAAAAATCCATCCAAAACTTAATCCTAATTCTAACAATTTGGTGTAATAATCACCCACTTACCGAACAATAATTCATGTTTGGACCATTTTGGATGGAGATGTGGCACAAGGAAAATAACCGGATGGTTTTACAGCATTGGTGAAAAATGCTTGGGTCCTTAGTCTTGATGGACAATTTAAGATTTGGGAGAAGTAACATTTAGGTCTTAAAAGAAAATTTTCATGACATTTAAATTCTAAAAAATTTAAGTAAAAAATAAGTTACAAATATCAATTCAAGACAATTAGTAATATGAGAATCCTTATTACAAATTAGACATTTGAATCTCATAGGTCATCTCTAATAGTTTGCAACTGAATTCTATATATGCAATTATCAACGTCAATATTTGCATTTCATCTTTTAACAAAACTTTTCAAGACCTCGTTATTCAATTGAACTTTTGGGATCATTCCTCCTTTAAAATTTTCAAGGAACTAGAGAAACAAAAGCCATATTTAAACCTAAGTTAACGGTATTTGCCAAAACATTTATGGGGAAAAAATAGTTGGAGATGTGCCATGTAGGATTGCAAAAGCACTACATCAGAATTCTAATGTCCCATGGGGTCATATAGCCCTATCCACAAGCAAGCAAACAAGAAACTTGCCTCCAAGCTGTAGTAATCCCCAGACGTGAAGGGGTGACCAGTATGATGAACGACACTCAGTTGAATGTACAACAAATTTAAGAGCAAATATATGAACAATGACCAAGTTCAATCACTATAGAAGAAAAAGCAAGGCACAATCAAAACCCAAACAATCTACTCATGCTATGTTTCTATAGACATCCTTGCCACGAAGAACAAGGGATTAGGGTACAAATTTGATGTCCTTAAAGTACTCATGCTCAAGAGCATTCCTGGCTGTAATTCTTTTGCTGGGATCCAAGCATAGCATGTTCTGAAATAAGATTTTACGCACTTTAACAATTTGTAGACAAAGTTCAAAGGATATAATTTAAAGGATTGAGATGACAATTATTTGTTTATATCTGACTTGGATGAAACTTCCATGCACAAAATGAATTGAACAGGAGTATATAATAACGAATGAGTAACCTCAGCGGATGGTAAAAACAAAATTTTTGTTGTGTGTGTGTGTGTGTGTGTGTGTGTAATAATCTCACCATACAGCAGAAGCAAATCTGCTACAAAGAAGTTAAATCACTACCAGGGATAACTGGAAGAAACATACCAAATGAACTAACCTATAAATATCAAAGAAAGGAATTTTTTGACCTACACTCAGCTGATACGAACCTTTAGTAGAAGCTGCCTTTTGTGTTGGTTCTTTTGGTTAATGGGAGTATGGCTCTCCTAAAGGCTCAAATCAGTGGTATTGGGGCCTTTCACTATCCTCCACTTTTGTTTTCTCTCACTTTCAAATGTGGTATAGGATACGTGAAACATGGGGACATATTATCGCTTATTGCAAGTTGTGAAACTTGAGTCCCACACAATAATAACGGGGTTCATATAAGGCCATGTTTGAAACTTCTAGGAGAGAGAAAATAGGGAGATAGACCAATGGAGGGTGAACTAACAAATAGGGTCTAGACATATTCTACGTGTTCCCGAAGATTCTACAAGGAGGGACCGTTAGAAGGTCTAAAGAAGCACTGCAAAGGGAAGAATGTGATAACTGAGTGAGGCATCTTATGAGCGGGGATGAAATGGAAAAGTAGAAGAGATGGTTAGCAATGGAATATTTCAGGGTGATCAGTGAGTGGATGATGCAAGGAAATTCCGAAGGAGTGCAGGGAGAAAGCAGAAACTCTAAATTCTCAAAAGCTAAGGAGTTTTCTGCCTGTGTTTGTTATTTGCCGCAGATGTGTATTTCGGCTGCTGTACTTATTCCTCTGGCGCACTGCTTGTGATAATTGCTGCGCTACTTGCACTGAAAATCATCGTGGGACTTATCTCATCACTTTCTATGTTCAAATAATTCTGCGAGTTCTTATCAAATTCTATTGTGGGGTTAGCTCTCAGTTTTCCAACCTTAAAAGCTAGCTATTGGAGTGTAACCATATCAAAAGTCCACATCATCACCATTTCTCCATTGGTTAACATTTCCAAAATATCCTGACCTTCAAGATTTCATCATTATCATATTGGTTTCGCTTAAGTAAACCCTTGTGACAATACTATCTTTTACGTAGTCCCCATATTTTTGCTTTTTTATTCCTTTACCTAATTTTGTCCTAGTTTCTCAGGTGTCAGTAGAATGGAAAGCAATTTAACTAACCACTGATGGCACTGAATACAAAATATCTAGTTCCATTTTTATTCCCATAATTATCTGAGTGATGATGCACTTACAGAAAGAAGATCAATGCCAGCTGGCCCAAGATTTGGAACAACAGTTGCCAGGTCCTGCACAGTATTTAAAAAAAAAGTAACTATAGTCCTTGATGCAAGTTAACAATGCAGATAATAACAGCAGCAGCACGTACAATTAATTACCTTTGGCGGCCACTTGGGAAAGGATGTTTTAAAATCGGGCAATGAAATCACTCCGGGCCACATATCCACATTTGGTGTACCCATGATACTTCACACAAGCAATAACACGTTTATTTAGAAGATGCATAAACTTTATTATGTAATTCTGCACAGTTGGTGCAAAAGTTCTCTGAATCCTTTCACAGTTGTTCAATACTTCAAATATATTTGGCTAGTTTTTATATGTCAGTAAATATTACTAAACATCACGACACAAACCTTGCCCTAACTTTGTTTTTTTTAATTTTTTTAATTTTTTTTCTTTTGGCCTGACAAAGGTGTCATATATGCTTTTCCGCACAAGATGTCCATTACCGGGAAGACCCCAGTCAAGCAGAACTGAGAGCAACCTCAGCCAGGATAATAGCCCCAAAAATATTCACTAAATTTTCAAATTTGGGTCGTAAAGTTCTCCAGGTAAACTTTTTTGAACGTCTTGCCTCAACTAAAACTCTCAGGGCTGTAGCAGTAACTGATAACCAATAAGGACCTATTAAATGAAAGTCACAGTGCAATAAGCAAATTATAAAGATTTGACATTCGTTATGAAAGACTGAAACTTCGTAAGAGATAATTTAGGTAGTAGATTGCAGTACCCTGCGATATGAAGGTCTCCATACTTTTAAGCCATGAAAATATTTCATTGGTTTGACCTCTCATAATAATGCAACAAAAAGTAATCATACCTACGAACGAATCCGTAGGGTAGAAAGAACAAGATGGAATAAGGCTTATCCCACTTAGGGGGTTAAGGCTTGTTGTTGTTGTTGGAATAACAATGTATACTCTAAAGCATCCACAATTATAGTAACATGCTTCATCCCTCATGCAGATGGTTTTATTAATAGAAGAATTCATTAAGATTCTTTAAAAAAAGGAAAAACAAAAACAAAAACAAAAAAAATAAAAAAAACAAACGAAAGTAACAAGAGGGAGGATAAGAATCCTCCTAGAATAGCAAGCAGCAAGCCTCATGATAATGATTCCATATTCACATCGTAAAAGCGCCCACCTCCATTCAACCATGAGCCTTTCATATTGATAGGACGTCAGAATTAGTATATCTCGACAAAACCTACTACAAAAGGAAACCTATTTTACTTTTATGTTTTATGTTTTCATTTTTATATATTTTAGCAACTGGCATAATGTGTACGCTTTATGCTTTTAGTGTTATTTTATTTTGAATGTTTTCTTCCTAAGAAGAAAATCCTACAACACATCTTTTGACTTTCCTTCATGAGAAGGAAATCTGGCTTTATAAATAGCTACCAGTTAGCATTTGTAACAAGAGTTTGAAGGATGATAATTTGCTGTCTATGAGAATTCAGGTTGCTCTTTCCCCCGCTAAGTTCTGTCTTCCCCCACCATTTTGTTCTTCATCTCTCTCCTCCCCCTCTCTGTTTCTGTTTCTCTCCACCATATGCCTCTGTTGGCATTAGTTGAAGGGTGTTAAGTCGGTTTTGCATCATATATATGCTGGGATTTTAACCCATTTGCACAATACCATTTGCTCCATTAACAGAGTTTCCAATTTAAAGTGGCTCATTTACAGAAGAATCAGTGTTTACATTAGCCTGGTCATAAAGGAGATTCTTTGATGTGGAAAGGGTATTATCATCCTATGATTCCTTGAGATCACTTAACAAAAGGGAATTTCCCGTGTGTGTGCTGCTCACGGTTTAGGGATTATTAAGGGATTCACGTACGTGGTCAATAATTGCTAGAAGGCATCATATGCCAAGGTCTAAGCAAACAGGTGTTCATATAATTTCCCTACAAAAATGGTAAGAAGTCATTATAAAAAACCCTATACCTGAATATTTTAAATATTTCATCAATCTCAGAGTCTCCAGGAAACAGTGGTCTTAGGTTTACCATCTCTGCAAATATACAGCCCACAGACCAAACATCCACTGGGGTCGAGTAATGGCGAGATCCAAGCAATATTTCTGGAGCTCTGTACCATAGTGTCACCACCTGCAAACAACCACCAATATTATATATGAAGAAACATGACTGAATCAAATATAACCACAAAGCCACCGTAATGAATTCTCGCCACTGGATTCTGATACCCCCCCCCCCCCGGCTCTATAACATTCTTATATATCAATTTTTGTCAATCTATCAATTTAGTAAATATACAATCCAATAACTTTAGGAGTAAATTACTCTCCTTTTCCTAACAAAATACAGCCCCCCGTTCTTTTATAAATATATACAAACATATATCTAATTCTGAAACCATCTGTTTGACTAGAATGCCCCTAAAGATAAGATTGGTTTCTTTAACTGAAAACGTAACTTTGAAATAATATATTTGTAAAAACATTTTCAAAACATTAAAGAAGATTTATTCAATTCTTTTTTCCTTTTTTTTTTTTTGCTAGTAATTACACGGATTAAAATATTAATTTCCATGTTAATATTAATAGTTACTTAATTAACTTTTAATTGGTTAAATTTACTTTAAAAACTATTTTGTGAATGCATTTTTTGTTTTTGCCATTTAATTTTTTTTTCATGTATTCAAATAAAATTTTCTAAAAAATAAAAATTCGTTATCTTACATAATCTTGGAGAAATAATTATCAATATGAAATATAAAGTATATATCAAGCCACAATGTTTATAAGCCATGAACAGTAGATCTAATTCCTCGAAGTCCATGATAAACAAGACCTAAATCTAATTCAACTATGTGGAGGTATCTTGGACAAAATGGATTTAAATGTAGCATATCTTCCGGCTTGAAGGAGTGGGAGAGTAACTATCCACAGATGGTAGAACCATGTCATTAAGGTCATCCCTGGGCAAAAAAATGGAAAAGAGAACTGCAAATATCACAATGCTATTACTAATGTAAGCAATGGTAACAACATCGAACCAATTCAGTTTGCACACTATGTGAAATACATACTGCCATATCATTCATTTATCTCTTCAAATTATTGTGGAAGTCAGCATATTGACAAGTTATCTCAGACAAGTTTAAGAGTTAAGACTAGAAAATGAAGTCAACTTCCAATGTTCTCAATTTTAGTTTCACCAGCTCTTTCCTTTCTCTGATTCTTAGCCAACCTAGCTTAAAAGTGAGAAATCATTACAATCAAACTTCAAAACAGTCACCTTTGTTTAGGTTAGATCACCCATCCCCCCTTGCAATATCTCTGCAACAAGCAAGTCCTCTACAATCTGCTTCAAATTCCACCTTTCAGCAAGCTTCCGCTCCCCTTATTTGCAACAAGTAGTTCACCAATTAGCAGAAACCATCCCTACCTCCATATCTCTCTCTAAAAGGAGTACTCCATACCAAGATCTTCAATCACAAAAGCAAGCCTATCCCCTTCTTCCTCTTGTCTCCCTCAGCTCCCTTATCTTTCTCAACATCAAGCCCATCTATTGTATGGCTTTGAACTAAGTTTCTCTATTTTTAGATCCTTATTAGTTTACAACCACATCATGAATTTATGAATAACTGTATATGCTATTGCCTTCCACTCTCTTAACTAGTTTTTCCCATAAATGATAAACTTTAAGTGCTTCTTTATAAGCCTAACTATTTTCTTAACGATTAGTAAAAGACATAACTCATAGCAGTTTATAATTCAGCTTCACTTAAACTAGGACTTTTGACAGCCACTATTACAAAATAATCTCTCTCAATTTTTTCATTATGCGTTCCAGATTTCCCCATTGCAGGATGACAGCATGAACAACGTCTTGTTGGGATTTTTATGAGAAGTGAAGTTTTCAGCCTCTTTTAGGTCACTTCTCAGCACTGAATTTAGAAAAGGCTTAGGCAAGATAAAGGAACACGATCCTCTGGCAGTATGACATATCCGTTGGCTTGTAGCTTTTTATGATGAGAACTAAATACAGGCAGGGTTTCAACCAGAGACTTGTTCTCCGCACCATCTTTGGGAGATGGTAATTTATTTGGCATCTCTTAGGATTTCAACTCTTGGTTTATCAGACAATTTTCCCTTATGGGCTTGCCCAAGAATTTTAAATCTAACCAACCAATGTCTACATAGATGAAAAAAAAGCATAGATACGGTGGAACATAGTCAAACCTCATGTGTAAATGTCTTGACAGGAATGCCAAATGCCCTGGCCAATCCAAAATCTGCAAGCTTTACTGAATTATTGCGGCGATCTATCAACAAATTCTGTGGTTTCAAGTCTCTATGAAGAACCCTATGTGAATGACAGTAAGCAATGCCACACAGAATTTGATATAGAAACATCTGCAGAACAAATAATTAACCCACTCAACTTCAAATAAAGCTGGTCCTTTAAGCCAAGATTAGTATTTTTGTTGTTCAATCAATGTTCATAACACTAATGAAGAACAGAAATATCGTGAATGAAGAAGCTTACACAGACAGAACTCTCTCACTCTCTCTCTCACGCATGCACGCACAGTGTTGTAGTCCCTCTCTTCTTTTTATGTATAATAATAATAATTCAATTGAAGTGAGGAATTAACTACAAGATAAACTTCTAGATGATAAAGAATTAAGACTCTAGATTATGTTAATAATAAACCTCTAGATAATCATAAGACCCTAATCCTTTAGGAGTTTCCCTTGCATAGACTTCTGAATACTCCCACTAAGCGTAAGATCAACACATGCTGCAGCTTGTTACAACTAATATTAAAATTAAATATGAAAACACATCTGGATTCTAGATTAGAAAACTGAACACTGCACCCAAAATTGAACAAGAAAATATATCAATACTGGGACAGCTGCATAAGGCAAACAATTTAAAAATGAAAATGCATCTAGACGAGAACAACTAGACACTATGCAGCAACTTAGAATCTGTTTGGATCTCCGTTTTGAGGGGAAAATGTGCATGGGAAATTGTAAAACGCAGGTTGAAGAATTATTGGGAGAGAAAAGGTTGTTTGGGTTGGCTTCTTTCCCATCTAGCTTTCGCAGCAAAAGCTCAGCATGGTGAGAAGCTAGAAATTACTGTGTTGAGCGGTGGAAAAGCCCATCTGCAATTACCCTTCCCTCTCTTCTTCATTACACAGCATTTAAGGCTCACTTTTTTACCCTTCTCTCTCTTCTTCTTCTAGTTTTTGCAGCGAAAGAGAGGAAAATTATTTCAACAAGGAGTTCCTACTTTGTGCATCCATGGCCATTTTTATTTTTATAAATTTAATTTTAAAATTATATAAATTTAGTTTATATTCATATTTATTCATTAAACATATTTAACTAACTAAAATGAATTTTCAAAATTTTCCCATTAATAAATTTTGTGTGCTAATTTTAATTGACATTATATATAAACAATATAAATATGTATTAACTCTTCTTATTTTTATAATTTTTAGTTTAATTTATTATTTTTCTTAAATTTATCAAATTATATATACGAGATATATGCCATAAAATTCATGGCTTTTTCAATTATTTTACATGTAAACTTACTTTTTCATTATTTATCCAAACAAGTTTCAATTTAACAAACTGACTTTTATAAAAAACCAATCCAACCATATACTAACTGACTTTTACCCTAATTAACTTTTGCAAAAGTCAGATGAAATAAAAGTTACTTTTGCCCCTGCTAATCCAAACACACCCTTAAAAACTTAACATTAGCTAGTACTGGCTCTGACAATGTCCCTAGTAGATAAGCCACAGATCCAGAATTCTTCAACCTATTTCCCATGTGTTACCTACTCAACACTCTCCTAGCTGCTAATCTCAGCCACAGGATCTAATCACAATGACACAGTTTCCGAAAGACTTTGATCTAGTTCACCTAAGGAGTACTCAGCTAGTTCCGTTTCTTGGGTTTTCTTGGTTTCCTCATTGAGGTACCCGGTACCACACAAATCCAGTAAAGAAGTTTACAACTCACCATGTTGTTTTATAATGTCAAACAATAATAACAAAATTGTGTCACCTGCTTCAGTCAGCAATTCGCAGTCAAAACAACAATCCGCAAAGCTCAATCAAGTGACGAGCTTAACCAATAGACAACTTTAAATAAACAGAGCAACTAACACTTATACCCCTGATTAACAAGCTTTAGGTCAAAAGCAGTACTGGAACCTGATCAAAGAATTACTTGGAGCTCCAATATAAGCTATTCAAGGTATAGTTTTCTCTCAAACCAAGTTTGCTATCATGTATATTTTGAGAGAAGAGCAGGAAAAAATATGGCTTGCTCACGTAAAACTTACATTGTGGCAGGCCCTCTCTTCTTTTATTCATGATAACATGAAAATAAAGATTAACTACAACATAAATTGTTCCAGATTATAATAAAGGATGACTAAGTAATAATAACTAGGTATGACTCCCTATAATCATACACTCCCAATCCTCTACTTACCCCTAATCCTTTAAGAGTTCCACTTGAATTCGCCTCTCATCAGAAATTAACAAATTACAATAACATTTCATTTAAAATGCCAATGGCCAGTTGGCCAAACTTTAGAAACAGTACACTTTTACACAAAATAATACCAATCAGGTAATATCCATAAAACCAAGTCATTCATCACAAAACTTTATGAATCTGCGCTCGTTTTTCCCTTCATTTGTTATATCGAAACACAAGAAAAGAAAAGCCAAAACATTTCTTGCTAATTTAATTTCCTAGACAAAACATTACATATTTTCATTTTCTGAGTGAGTTCCAAACCTATAATTAGAGTAATCATTAACTTAGTCATACAAAGCTCAATCACATCCAAATATAATAAAGTAGTTACACACTTTTATTTGTCGATGATCTTTAGCAAAATCAGGAGATGAATCCATGTGCTTCTTCAGATCTAAGTCCAGGTGCTCAAAAACCAGATACAAACTCTTCTCACTGTGTACTACATCCTGTAACCTGTCATTCACATAGCCATCAAGCATATGCCAACATGGAAATGGCTGAGAAGGTAGAAGAACAATAGGGCAGCAATTTACTGAAGCAACAAATTTAAGACGAAATCTTATATGGTGAAAATTGTAAGATTCTAGTTGGGCTATCCTGTCTTATTTTTCAGAGCTCAGCATAACATCATTAAAGTGTGTCTTCTATATAGCCCTTCAAAACAACCTGAATAGAATTTATGTTGCTTAAATGGGATCATCATAAGTGGGATGTGGGAAAACCATTTGACAAAAAACCAATAACCACATAGATCCATCCATTCAAGACTAAGTGTCATGTGATAGTGTTTAAATGCAACATGAAGCGTCATGTCACGTATAAGCATCAGATATGCATTGTGCACAATAAGGCAACAAAATAATCTTTTGGTCAACAAAATAATGAACTTGGTGTAAACATCATTTTTGAAATCTACTTCCACCTACACGAGCAATTCACAACAGTCACCAGTATACCAAATCGAAAACAGGTTGTCAACAGATGAACGCCGAGTTATAAATACGAATCAAACGATGACAGTAATATCTTGATGCCACATTAAGTATCAGCTTATAAAATGTCCTGGACATATCCACGATTATAATGGATATATTAGCTGAATTCCTAACTACCGCAGCATTGATTCACCATAGACACCGTAAAACGATCCTCATGGTCAAGCTCACTTTGAACATTCACAGTTTTCTCACGGTCCCCAGAGAAAATGTTCTTGCTTGACGCATCAATGTCATAACTGACAACCAGTGGATGCACAAAATAATTCAGTAAAAGAACATATTACCAGGCAATAAATGACTTATATGTAAGTTGTAAGTATACTATAATATGAACTATCTCATGGATCAAGGTGAATTACCGAAATTAAAAAGACTCAGACGCAAGTATACCTTACAATATTCCTATGCTGCATTTCTTTCAAGAGCGAAATCTCTCGAATCGCCGTGCTAGGCACTCCCTCATCGTCCTGCTCCAGTCGAATTTTCTTCAATGCTATGGTTTGATGTGTGACGCGATCACGAGCCTTGTAAACCACACCATAGGTGCCTTCACCAATCTTCTCAACTTTCTCGTACTTGATAATCAGAGGAAAAAAATAGAGATAGAATCCGCAGATATTCGAAGAGAAACACAAAACTGAACTCGACGTTCAGTACATTATGCTAACCTGTTCCATGAAACAAGCTCAGAGTTCGCGGCGAAGTTCTAACACCAGAGAGAGAAATGAACAAAGATTAACAGAGAAATCGGTGAAGAAAGTAGCATTAAAGTGGACGTGGAAGAAGTAGCAAGTTACCGGCGCCGAAAAAGGAGGGAGTCTGCAGTGTGAGTAACAGTTGTTCCACTGCCTCTCGCCGCCAACGTCCTTTCAGGCTAGAGACTTGCGTCTCGTGGGATTCACTTTGTTTGCTTGCTTCTCAAATGGCTTCGGATGAAAGCTTTTTTCTTTTTCTTTTTCTTTTTCATTTTTAATTAATAAATTAACTTTTAAAATAGGGAAAGAGAAATGAAAATTTAAAATTGTAGTGATTTTACGATGTTTTTGTCCTCTGCCACGAACAAAATTTATTACTATAAAAAAAATAACATTTACAAAGATATCAAAAAGTAGGGATGTTCAATTTGTCCCGTCTCGGTCGTTCCGTGTCGGTTCCAATGAGTTCGGGACGGAACAAAAAAAAAATTCAGGACGGGACAAGTATAAGACAGGACGAGACGAGGGACAGGGTTGTCCCGTCCCGGGATATTTTTTTTAAAAAAAATCATTTATTAATAATTATTATTAGATTATTCAATTTACTTCTTAATAATAATAATTATTTTTATAGTAATTTTTAGCTCTTAAGTTGTAGTATCATCTTAACAATATCTCATTCCTCAATAAAATAATTCATAAAGCTATTATATAGTGTTTCTTTTACCGTATTTTTTTTTACAGTATTGTTTTTACACCTTTTTTATACTATATAATTGAGTTTTCTACATAATATTTTTTATAACGTTTTTATCTTTAGAAGCCCAATAAAAAATAAACATTATAACATAAAAAAATTTCATATGAAAAATTATAGTATTTTTTAAAAGAAAAAAGAGGGAACGGGACGTCCCGTCCCGTCTCATGGGGCAGAACCGGGACGGGACAGGATACGGGACTAAAACATTGTCCCGTCCCTATCAAAAAGCATAAAAGTAACAAAATAAAGACACTTTTTGACTAAAAAAACATAATAAAGCCACAAGCCACAATCTTTAAGTACTGCTTGGTATGAAGGAAACGGGGGAAGGAAAAGAAAAGAAAAGTTTGAATGAGCTCTATTTAAAAACTTAGGAAAGTGGGATCTTAAAATTTTAATTAAAAAAAAGAAGTAATATAAAAGGGTAATAAAAATTAATTAAAAACTTTTAATTTAATTTTTTAAATTTTTTAAACAGAGCTTATTAAATTTTTTCCTTCCCTCCCCTTTTCTCATTTTTCCCGAACCAAACTGACCTAGGAATATTACTACCATCAAGGTCAAGAAGATGCCGCAGAGCAGGATGTGGTTTGGAGACCCAATCGGAGGGACATGAGCCAGCCAGGAAGCATCCAGCAATCTGGTCCGTAGTCAAGTTAGCTTCATGCGAAATCCGTACACAGGAATGGTTCCTTGAAAAACCAAGGTTCTCAAGGATGATTTGACTTCTCCAATCAGGTAAAGAGGAGCAATTGTTTACACAATCCACTAGAGTCTCATTGTCTCACTCAAAGATAACTTCATCCAGATCATTTTGAATAACATAATCAAAAGCCTCTTGAAGTGCAGCACCCTCAGCGAACAACACGTTTTGAGCATTAATTTTCCTCTCCACACCATCCCCAAGAAAACCATTACAATCTCAAACCAGCACCGCAATAGCTGCAAGTCCCTTCGAAGTGTTGATGGCACAGTTAACATTTATTTTAATAGCATTTCCAACAGGGGCTATCCATTCAATTTTGATTTGCCTATCCACACAGGGATTCTGGAGACATATATCTTTATTTAGGCTCCATCCTTTTGCTTCCCAAAACCGCTGGATAAGATTACCTGCATTCAAGAAAGTATGAACAGGCTCAAGTTTGAGATTTTCACAGATAAAACTATTTCGGCTCTTTCAAATGGCCTAGAGGGCAGAGGCAAGCACAACTTTATGCCTATGGGATAAACGCATGTTACAGAGATACTGATCCGGCTATGGAGGAAAATATGGGGGAGGTGAAGGGTCAAACTTAAAGGAAAAGACGCTTCCAAACCATGTCGTTTGAGCCCAGTGAAGTTCAGGTAGAGCAGGGGAAATAGTCCCGGATTTTTCCTTACAAATCAAACACAGATCAAAGACACATGATTTTCTTCTACGCAAATTATTAAAAGTAGGTAAAGCTTTATGCACAGTTCTCCAAAGCAAGTTTTTAATTTTATTTGGCACTTTAAATTTTTCAAATTTCTTTTCAGAGAGGCCTAAGAGTTAGTAGAGCGTCCCTGTAATTCTCTATTGTTCAAGGAGCATTTAACTTTAGCTACATGCTAGCCCTATTTAACTGCATGCACGCCTCTTTTTCCAACTGTCCAGATCCACCTGCCCTCCCTCAATCTTGCACTCATGATAGTATTATAGACAGCACTCCTCTCAACATCACTAATTGATATATCCCTATTTTATAACATATTTTTATATACAATTAAAGGATTTTATAATGTTTAAAAAGTTTAAAATGTAAAAGATACTCGTATTTTAAATTAAAAAAATTATATAAATTAATGACATAAAAGTATATTTTTTATTATATTTTTATAATTTTTCTTTTGAAAGGTATCTTTGCTTTGATTCTAAAGAATATTCTATCAAGCAAAACATAAACACCACGAAAAGCACATTTGTAGCAGCTACTCGGCATTTAAAAATTATTCAAAATATCCGGTCGAAATATCTCTTATTTTTCACCATAAATTAAAGGGAAAAAGACAAAAAAATGTTACTTAAACTTCATAATCCCCAAATGGTATGTTAAATTTGAAAAATCCCAATTTGGTCTCAAGAGACCAAATTGGGATTATTATGTGAAAGCAAAAGACCAAATTGCCCTTCACTTTAAATATTATTTTTAAAATATCACAGCCCCTACTGGCCAGCCGGTTACCGGAGCTCCGGCGGCGGCGGTCATTGGAGCTCCGGTGACCAGCCGACAATTGGTCACCAAAGCTCCGTCAGTCGAAAAAAAAATTTTTGAAATTTTTTACAACTTCAATATAACGGTTAACAACTTTTGTAATGCTATTAATAACTTAGTATAACAATTAACAACAGGTTTTCTAAGAAATTCAACAAACTCCGGCGACCGGAAACAATTTTTTTGAAAATTTTTACAACTTCAATATAACCGTTAACAACTTTTGTAACGCTATTAACAATTCAGTATAGCAATTAACAACAGGTTTTATGGGAAATTCAACAAACTCCGGCGAACGGAAACAATTTTTTTGAAAATTTTTATAACTTCAATATAACCGTTAACAACTTTTATAACGCTATTAACAACTTTAGTATATCAGTTAATAACAGATTTTTCGGGAAATTCAACAATTAGTCGTCGGAGCTCTGGTGGAGGAAAATAATTTTTTTTGAAAATTTTTACAATTTCAGTATAACGGTTAACAACTTTTATAACTCTATTAACAACTTCAGTATAGCAATTAACAACAGGTTTTTTGGGAAATTCAACAAACTCTGATGACCGGAAACAATTTTTTTGAAAATTTTTACAACTTCAATATAATCGTTAACAACTTTTGTAACGCTATTAACAACTTTATTATATCAGTTAACAATAGCTTTTTTGAAAAATTCAACAATTGGTCGCCAAAGCTCCGGTGGAGGAAAACAATTTTTTTGAAAATTTTTACAACTTCAGTATAACGGTTAACAACTTTTATAACCTTATTAACAACTTCAATATGGCAATTAACAATAGGTTTTCTGGGAAATTCAACAAACTCCGATGACGGGAAACAATTTTTTTGAAAATTTTTACAACTTCAATATAACCGTTAACAACTTTTGTAACGCTATTATAAAATTTATTATATTAGTTAACAACAGATTTTTTGAAAAATTCAACAATTGGTCACCGAAGCTCCGGCGGAGGAAAACAATTTTTTTAAAAATTTTTAAAACTTCAGTATAATGGTTAACAACTTTTATAATCTTATTAACAACTTCAGTATAGCAATTAACAACAGGTTTTCTGGGAAATTCAACAAGCTTTGATGACTGGAAACAATTTTTTTGAAAATTTTTACAACTTCAATATAACCGTTAACAACTTTTGTAATGCTATTAACAATTTTATTATATCAGTTAACAACAGATTTTTTGAAAAATTCAACAATTTGTCGCCAGAGCTCTGGCGGAGGAAAACAATTTTTTTGAAAATTTTTACAATTTCAGTATAATGGTTAACAACTTTTATAACCTTATTAACAACTTCAGTATAGCGGTTAACAACATGTTTTTGAGTTTGTTAAAGGCATTACTGAAGTTATAAAAATACCACTTTTTGAATTTTTTTTAAAAACCTGTTATTAACTGCTATACTGAAGTTGTTAATAGAGTTACAAAAAGTGGTATTTTTATAACTTCAGTAATGCCTTTAAAACTCAAAAACATGTTGTTAACCGCTATACTGAAGTTGTTAATAAGGTTATAAAAGTTGTTAACCATTATACTGAAATTGTAAAAATTTTCAAAAAAATTATTTCCGGTCACCGGAGCTTGTTAAATTTCCCAGAAAACCTATTGTTAATTACTATATTGAAATTGCTAATAGCATTATAAAAGTTGTTAACCGTTATACTGAAGTTGTAAAAATTTTCAACTTCAGTATAACGTTAACAATAACGTTTTTTGAAAATTTTTACAACTCCACTATAACGGTTAACAACTTCGGTATAGCAGTTAACAACAGGTTTTTTAAAAAATTCAAAAAGTGGCATTTTTATAACTTTAGTAAGGTCTTCAACAAACTCAAAAACCTATTGTTAACCGCTATATAGAAGTTGTTAATAGGGTTACAAAAGTTGTTAACCGTTATACTGAAGTTGTAAAAATTTTCAAAAAAATTGTTTTCCTCCGCCGGAGCTCCGGCGACCAATTGTTGAATTTTTCAAAAAATCTGTTGTTAACTGATATAACAAAGTTGTTAATAGCGTTACAAAAGTTGTTAACGCTTATATTGAAGTTGTAAAAATTTTCAAAAAAAATCGTTTCCAGTCATAAGAGTTTGTTGAATTTCCCAGAAAACCTGCTATTAATTGTTATATTGAAATTGTTAATAAGGTTAGAAAAGTTGTTCACCATTATACTGCAGTTGTAAAAATTTTCAAAAAAATTGT